CAATAATCATATTATGTTTTTCTATTAGCTAGAGCTTTTGTTGGAACACGAACTGTGCGTTCGATTGAGTTCTCTCGACTGATAGAGCTTATTGTGTGTGGTCGGCACACTTCGTTGGAAATTCTTGGGTGTGAGCTCTCTAGAATAGCTTTGGAGTGTTCTTGGGTGTGAGCTCTCTAGAGTGTTCTTTCGTCGTCACTATTTTTCGTAGATGATTGCTGTGATTTGGGTCTCTTCTTAGTGGACACAAACATTGTCACCGTCACTAATTCATGATTGCAAATTGATGCTTTTATTTACTAGCATCAATTTGAGGTGGATGTCAATGAGATCGATGGAGATTATATTGTCATCCTTATATTATTGTATTTACCATAGTTATACATATTTCTATTCCTATATAATGAAAGCGATCCCAGAAGGGAAAACCATTCAGCCAAAATATTGACATTTCATTGTATATATTGGGTTAATTAATTTGCTAGAGGATCTAGAATCCTAACCCTCTTATCCTCCATGTCCACCTGAATCAGAAACATCTTATTCATTGAGCAAAAGGATCAGTTCCTCCGACTCTCTATCACCGATGTTCCAACCAAAACTAAAAATTCCATCATTCTGAAGAAAATAAAGGAGGGAGCAGAAGTCCCCACCTTCCGCACATCTTCTCCTGATATTTTTCTGTTTTATGTTCCCAGTACCCAAACCACCTATACATTTTAATATTGAAACCAATCCTCGAAGCCACTAAGAACATATTGCTAGATAGTTGACATTACGATGGACACAACTTTAGCTTCATTTTTCTTTCCTAATACTGACCAATGTTGTCTTGCCCAACTTACCTTACATGCCGTTAATGCTATTTTGTCCCATCTAAATGTTAGGACTATTGTTGTTATATCCTATGTTGGAAGTTTGTGCCTCTGCTAGCTGTCGACACTTTTCAGCCCGTCTTCTTTTCTTTATAAGCACTAATTCTAGTTCTTGGATGCTGGCTTTCTCCTCATCAGTCTTCTGCTGCAATTCATGGACTTCGTTATCTAATTTCCTTATTTCGGCTTGCATCTTTTATTGTTTCTTCTCTCCGTTTCAATGAATCTTTAGCCATAACAATGGCCTGATACGGGTTGCTCACCATATTCGGATCTTCATTTTCTTTCAGAAGAGGTTTCAATTTCCTTGCAGCTGCATAATCAAGTGAAGGTGTGAAGAGAGCAAACAATTTTAGCATGTTTGATAAGGGAGATTAGATTACGACTGGACAATATAAAGAAAGAAGATTAATTTTCGTTCAATATTATGCAGTCTAGTTCAGTACAGTATACCAAACACGCAGTTAGAGCTTGGGGTATTTTGCTATATTCTCTAATTGAGTAGTTGAGTTTTTTTCGACACTACGAACCTATGATCGGGGTACTTGATCTTGGTCTTCTATTTAGATAAGTTGATTTCAATGGAGCATCGAAGGATCCCCTGAGAGATAGTACAACAGCAGCCGGAGCCAAACCTAGGTTTTCTTTCGACTCCATGAAATGTTGAGGGAAAGCATGTGAATCAACTGTTTGTGAAGCATTCAGTTCTTCACTTTCACCTTCAGAAAATAACCATGAAAATGCCCTGTGCCTATACATACATAATATACATATTATGCATTATCATCAGTAGCAGCATCACTTGTGCTTTGTTATATTTGCATTTAAGTTGAAAGCTACCAACCTGAAATCTGAATTTGATGAAGCAAAGATGGACATGAACTGATTAATTGAGATGCCCACTTGGAAATCCCACCATGGTATAAGAAATTCTAGTTTGTTACGCTTCTTCTTGCACACCTGCCATTGCAATATTCTTAGATTGCTTGGAACAGTCAAACCCCCTCCTGCATTTTTTTTCAAAAGTAGCCCACAAGTTAAATCTCTTTCATATATATTGATCGCATGTACAGTCGGAGAATTGGAGAATACTGAATAATATTAAGGAAGAACCACCGAACATACATAGTTATATCTCTTCATATGATTTCATGACATGTTTAGAAGAGAAGATTGGATAGTACTGGATAGCATCAAGAGATTAAAATAATCTAAAATTCTATTCACGTGCATAGCGAGAAATCACTTATAAGCAAAGACAACTAGTAATTACTTGAGCAAGGGAACCAATGGTCTATATCCCATGCAAGTGGTGATGCTGAATCTGCATGATAGAACAGAACATTTCCATATGGATCTACTCGAAGTATTTCTGGATCAAAACCAGCATTCCTGGAATTTCAAATTACAAGTGTTATAAAAATCCTTAATTTTTTTTTTTTTTTTAATTCTTACATATTATTCATTTCTAAGAATAATATAGGAAAATGAAAGTTGTTTACCCAAGATGATTGAGCTTTTTCCACAGAAGACTGAGAAAAATCTTGGGCTTTGTTGTGGGTTTTGCTTTGGGATCAATGATTGGGAACACCTCTACTAATTCCTTTGCTCTTGAATCCTGTCACCACAAAAGGGTCAGAAGGCTTTTCTGATAGAAAAAATAAGAGCTTATTTGGCTGAGCTTAAAAAAATAAATTATTTTATTTTATTTCAAAAACAGTTTGAAGTATTTGATTTTCTCTTTCTTTTAATCAAGCACATATTTCTTTACTGTCAAAAAGAGACTTTTTAAATTTTCACAATTTAAAACTTTTTTTTTAAGTATACTTTTTAACTTAGCAAGCATGCTGACTTAAGAAAGAGCATGTTTGGGAAGTGTTTAAAATTGAAATAGTTAAAAATAATGATAGATAAGTGAATATTATTTGTGGTTCTCTTAAAATATCACTACACCCAAAAAGGCCTTTTGCAGCGGCCA